TTTTTTTGGAGGGGGATTTTAAAAAGCAAAGGGAAGCCTGGGAGATCATATTTTGCAGGCTGCTACATTACACATGCACATCCCAGCACATCCCGGCGTGCCGGCGCCTGGGAGGAAGAGGAGGAGAAGCACAACTGCTGGGTAAGCCCTGCATGAGCACAGGGCTGCTCCTCCAGCCCCAGGAAATATTCCCCGAGGTTTTCACCCAGACCCCCAGCAGGAATTCCTCCTCTTGCCCTCAGCAAACGCAGCCCCAGATCTGAGCCCAAGAGCCCGTGGTGATTCTGCTCAGTCTGGGCAGCAGTGAGGGCTTGTCTTGAACTTCTTCCCCCTCAAAAATGGCTGAATTATTTCAGGTTTTTTTTGTAGTTTTCCAATGGTTAGGATGAGTCTTTTCAAAGTCTGAACACCTCCAGAAACTGTAACACAGTCTAAAATATGTGGCTTTAAGAGAAGCCATTTTAAGCCTGGCTTTGCTGGTCTGCCCCATGGATTCAGGTATTTAGTCTGGATATGGTTAATCCGTGTCCATGACAAATTTTGTTGGGTTTGCAGCCCCTGGTTGGAGGTTTGGTGGAGGATTTGACAATGAAGTGGAAGAGCAGCAGCTTTTGAAAGAGAAAAGCTGAGTCTGGGAGAGCCACCACTGTGAGGGCAGTGAAATAAAAGCATTTTACTTCCCGATTTAATGCGATGAACTCAGTCCCCACTCACAGCAACCCTCCTGCTGGGAACATGAAATTAAATGTTGCCAGAGAGTAAATCCCATCTCCCAAATCCTCAACACAAGGGCTGGATATAGGAAACTAATGAGGGTTTGTTTTCTACAGTTTGGAAATTGCTGTAGCTGATCTGTGAACTCCTTCCCACAGGCCATGAGGTGGGATGAGGGAAAACAGGGCAGGAACTGCTCAACCTCAGGCCACCAAAGCCAAAGGGTCATCAAGGAGATGTTAATGAGTTTAATTACCTGGGATTGGCCGAAAGATGCTGTTGAGGCAAATTCATCATTAAAGACCACCCCAGGTTTATTGTTGGGACCATCACGCAGGCACTGGGCAGGATCTGCAGCACTGGTGATGGGAACATGGGACAGAACCAGGGGGGATCCACCTCACCCAGCTTGGCACAACCACAGAGTCACTGAGGCTGGAAAAGCCCCCAGGATCGAGTCCAACCATTCCCAGCACTGCCACCAGTGAAATCCCCCAGGGATGGGGACTCCACCCTGCCCTGGACAGCCTGACAACCTCTTGGTGAAGGAATTCTTCCTGATACCCAACCTGAACCTTCCCTGGCACAGCCCAAAGCTGCTTCCTCCTGTCCCATGGCTCCCTTTGCAGCCCAGCTTCTCTGGGCAACCTGCTCCAGAGGTTGACAGAATCCCAGGATGGTTTGGGTGGGAAGGGACCTTAAAGAACATCCAAGGCAGGGACACCTCCCGCTGTCCCGGGGTGCTCCAAGCCCCATTGTCCAGCCCTGCCTTGGGCACTGCCAGGGATGAGGAGTTATCCGAGGTGCACATTCCATACTGTGACCCAGCTCAACTCCAGCGTTTTCCAATTGCCTCCTTGGCTGAGGTTTCCTCCTCCAGAGCACTCCCTCGGTGGGGCTGAGGGAGCCAGGGGGACACGGGGACACGGGGCTGGACACGGGGACACAGGAGTGGACACAGGGATACCTGGCTGGACACACAGACACCTGGCTGGACACAGGGACACATGAATGGACACAGGGACATGAGTGGACACAGGGACACAGGGCTGGACACAGGGACACGGGGCTAGACACAGGGACACAGGGCTGGACACAGGGATATGTGACAGGATACAGGGACACGGGGATACCTGGCTGGACACAGAGACACATGAGTGGACACACAGACACCTGGCTGGACACAGGGACATGAGTGGACACACAGACACACAGCTGGACACACGGACACATCGCTGGACCCAGGGATATGTGACACCAACTCTTCCTAACATCCCTCGACACGAAACCGGGATCAAACAGCACCAGTGGGAGAGAAACCTCAGCCAGGCTCTGCTGTGCCTCTGGCAGCACTCTGCCCTTCCTCCTCCCTCCTCCTCCTCGGGTGCCAGGAATTCCTGCCATTTCTGCAGCTCCCCGTTTTGTTCACAGCAATTCCCTCAGCAGAATGTTGTGACCACCTCACTTTGAAGCAGAACCATCAGGCACTGTCAGAGACCAACGTTTCTGATTCCTTTTCTTCTCCTTCTTGCCCCTCAAAGTTCTGACCTCGTGTCTACCAAGACACCAATTCTAAAACCACAGGAATTTTTTAAAAATCCCTGTTTTTTTCTGCCTTTTTATGAAGATTTTTGAAGCCTGAGAGATAGTTTTGAATGCCTGACACAAGCCCACACCTCTTAAACCCGGCCTAGAGCAGTAAATCCATCCAAGGAGTTATTTCACTTCATGCTGGGAGGGAAGTTTTATAAAATTAAGGAATCTCAGGAGTCCAGCAAGCATTAGCTGGTAGATGACACCACCCAAACACTGCTGAGCCACTCTCCAGACTTCATGGACTGTGCTGGAGAAATCTCCACTGATTTAGGGCATTTAACTCCAGGACATCCCTGAGCACTGCAGCTGGAGCTGGCTGTTCAAGGGACCTGGAAAGTCAACAGGGAAAGAGGGACTGGCTCCAAAGGAGGTTATCCCTCATCCCCCCAGTCACCAGATTGGATTAGAACTAATTGGATCTGATGAGTCCCATTCAGCCAAGCTGGAGAAAAGAGCATTAGGAGAAGGAAGGAAAAAACTCATTCATTAGGGCTGGGAGGTGAAGATGGAGGCAGAGAGATGGAAAACTGGGCTCTTTCCCAACTGGAGCTTTCCCAAGCCAAGGAGAACAGAATGGAAGAGTCTAAGGGAAGGGAAAGCAATGAGGATCCGAGTGGGGAAGGAACTTAGAGAGGAGCAAGAGCAAGGGAAGGAGGAAACGTCACTCCCGAGGCAACTCCAGCAGGGATGAGCACAGCAGCCTCACAGCTGGATGCTTCAAGGGAAGAGAACGGTGTAGTGTGGATCAAGGCTGGAGAAAAGTGGGATTCATGCCGAGACCATGACAAACTTGGTGTGGGAGGTGGTGGAGCAAGGAGGATGAGGGGCCATGCCCAAAATGAGAGGGTGTTGTCTCGCACCAAGTTTTCCATGCACCTGGATCCTGTCCAGAG